CTCCCAAGCAGTCTTATCCATTTTCTAATCTTTTCAAGTCTTACATTATTTTATGAAGTATGAGAATGAATGAAACCAGTATCAGCTAGAATTATCTATTTATGAAATAAGCATTGTACTTAGTCTTCTAAGGATATAGAACATATGAGACTATATACATACTTCAGTTTTACACATTTTGTATCATAAAATAGCTTATGACAGCATTTCCAACATGTATTCCACAGGGCACTGGGTCCCCTCGATGTTCTGGAGTAAAGACAGTTCATCTTTTTGAAATAAAAAAAATTTTTTCATTACAGTTTGCATTCAACACTTTTTTTGTATTAGTTTCAGGTGTACAGCACAGCAGATAGGCATTTATATACTTTACAAAGTGTTCCCTCCGATAATTCAAGTACCTACCTGGCACTATAGGTAGTTATTACAGTATTGTTTACTATATTCCCCATGCTTTACCTTACATACCTGTGCCTATTTTGTAACTACCAATTTGTACTTATTAACCCCCTCACCTTTTAAAAAAAATAAGTTTGAGAAATACTTTATATTTTATCTCCTGTGCTTGGCATTCCTACAAACAAAATTTGCATATCAAAGTCTGAGAAATTCTGCAGTAAAGAAATCTGTTTAACTTGGCTTTAATTTATTGTTTCCAGAATTCTTTGATTAGTAAACCATTTCCTAAGTAATATCTATTTATTTCCAATAAAAGACACTTTGGAAAATGGTGCCTTATGAGTATATTTTTAAAAAAACAACTTATGGACTTTGTGCCACTTAAAAATAGGAAGCTTTCTAGGTGAATATATAGTAGCTCCACAGTGAATTTGTCCTACCTTCAAAATACTGTAGAGCCCAGGAGCTATTAGAAGGGAAAACATTAGGGTTTTTTGTTTTTGGTTTTTGCTAAAGGTAAACTAGATTCTGAATTGAAGACTAGTGGTCTAAGTTGTATAAAGCTTTGCTATCCTGAAATGTGTATTTCTCGTGTAGTCATTATTTTCCAGACCAATGCAGGATAAACAAGGTTTTATTATATGGACATATAACAGATTAACAGATTATTGGCAAGAAATAAAGATGCTTTTCAGAGGGAACTTACAGAATTTTGCAACTACTTAGACTCCTCTATTTTCTTTCTTTTCTTCTTTTTTTTACTTCTCACCCGAGGATTTTTTTCCATTGCTTTTCAAAAAGAGTGGAAGGGAGAGAGAGAGAAACATTGATGTAAGAGAGGCACATTGATTGGTTGCCTCCTGCACATGTCCTGATTGGGGCCGGGGAGCGAGCCTGCAACCGAACAAAGTATGTGCCCTTGACCGAAATCGAATCCAGAACCCTCCAGTCTATGGGCCAATGCTCTAACCACTGAGAAACACTGTCTAGATTCCTTTATTTTCAATTTTGAAAAATTTTTAAGTCCTCAAGTTGCTTTACTGGGGCAACTCTATGTAATGGGACGCTGTAACAGATTATTTACATCTCAGAAAGGAAATGTTGAACTGAAAGTTTGTTGTTTGCATACTTCCTTTTACCCTCCTTTTTAAACTAAGTGTTTATGAAACTTTGTAGGAAAGTTTTAGTGTGAAATGGTATTGTTGAAAATGAACTTAGCACAGAGACGATACTGAATGCAGCAAGTCTTTTCCAGGTAGAAGGGACAGGAATCAAGTATTAGGAGTGCAGCTAAGATGACATTGAAGTGCTTGGCCTGAGCGATAGGGTAAACTTCCTAAAGATTGTGCCTATCTACTGTTGGAGACATCTCATAAAATCAGTAATCTAGTAATTATTAGCATTTTTGTCTCAGGATATGCTTGAAGGGCAGTAGCACTTTGGGGGCAAATTGATATGGTTGGTACTAATTTATTATCCCATGTTATTGAAGCAGAGAGACTATGAACTATAAGAATGTCAACTACATAGAAGTTGGGAATCCCACTGGCAGATGAAGTCCATAGTAATAATAGGTAGAAAAAACCTATAAATGGGCAAGTTGTGGCATGTGCTTATGATATGTATAAGAGGTAAGGTGATCTTGCAGTCACTGTAAGACAATTCAGAAAACAGTGTTTATTGTAAATTTGCATCTGTAGGAGAACCTATTTAAACCAAGGAATAATCTCAGAAGAACACTTACAAATATTGTTCATTGAAATAAAATATGTGAAAATGTTTTATACAATAAAATATTAAATCACGGGGCATTATTATAACATCTATTACATCCATAGCCTATTTTTAATTTCCTGCTTATTAAGTTTTCAGATATTTTTAATATGTGAAAAATCTCTCATTGTAAAACACAAACCAAATAAAGCCAGTATAATTACATAATTATTTCACATAGAGAAGAGACAATATTCTCTTACATGATAAATAAATAGAAAAATCTGATCAAAAACACCATGTTACCATCTCCTAGAACAAAACTTATTTTAACCAACAGTTTTGGGGTTAACTTAAGACGTATTCTTTAGGATAGCTATTGGAATTTAGAATAACATCTCATGATTTATAGCACAATTACAAAGTAGAAGCTAAACATCTGAAATAAAAAGTGATGTAAATACTGATTTAAATTATATTGGACCTTTTTTCTTTCTTGTTAATAACTATTCTATTTAAAGAACTAAATTAAGTGTTAAAAAATAACCAATGCATTCTATTTTGTGTTTTGGTTAAAGTAGGTTACTGGTCATTTATTTGAAATGGTTTTCTACTTACTCAAGCTGACTTCTAATGATACTCTAGGGCATTTATCACAATCTCATAAAAATGTGGATAGCTTTATCTCTTTCAGGAATTTCAGTCATTCTTTTGTTATTTCAAATTCATTAGTAATCCATGAAGAACATGATTCATTAGGTGTGGAAATCTTAGGTAAATTTATATTCATCACATTTTTATTATTTCTAAGGATTCCAGAAACCAAGCAGCCTAATATTAGCTTTTGCTTTGTAACAAATGAAAACCTTTCAAGAGCACATGGACCATAACACACATATAAAAAGTAAATGGATAGCTCCCTTTGGATATATGCATTTCATAGACATCTAATAACATGGTTATCTTTCACTGTACAAAAACTTTACGGGCCCCAAAGGAAAGAGAAAATACAATTCTTGCCTCCATGAGTAGGGGAAAGAGATTTCCTTTGGTAAAATACCCAGAAAGTTATTCAGAGAAAAGTGATTCCTGCATGTATGCAGTGAGTAAAGTAAGTATCAGCCATATGCTCAGCTCTTGTTTTAGGAAGTGGGAAACAACCACGGAAGAAACCAGACGGAAATCCTGGTCTTCCTGGAACAAAACACAAGATAAAGGAAATGGATATGTTGGGTGATAACAGTGCCATGGAGAAAAATAAAGCAAGGAAAGGGGATAGGGAGCGTTAGGGCCTTGCAGTTTCTAGTAGGGTGCCAGCCAAGGCTTAACAGAGCAGAAGTCCCTTGAACGAAGACCTATGGAGGTGACGGAATTAGTCATTAGGATATCCGTGGAAAGAGTATTCCAGGCAAAGGAACGACAAACAAATGCTTAAGAATCGTAGCTGGGAGGATGCCCAGCATGCTTAAGGAGCAGCAAGGAAGCAAAGCGGAGCTGAAGAGGAATACAACAGACTGAGAGACTGAGGGAGGCTGTTAGAGTAATCCAGACAAGCAGTGATGGAGGGAGCAGTGGGGGAGGGTAAGAAATCAGGATTTGTGCATGGTTTGGATATGGGATATGAAAGGGGGAGGGGGGATCAGGGTTTTTGATTTGCTTAATGGAAGAATAGGATTTCCATTAACTGAGATAGAAAATACTGCAGGAGGAGTGGAATTTGGGGAGAAAGACCGGAGCTCTGTTTGGGACAAGTTTGAGATCCCCGTTAGTCATTTGCGTGGAGATGTCCAGTTGGATGTGGCGTTTTGAGGCATTCTGGGGAGAGGTTTGGCAGGAGGAGTAAGGATGAGCAAGCGTGATGTTTGGTGAACTGTAGTAGGAGTTGAGAGTAAGAGGGAAAGCAGTATAGCGAAGGGCTCAGGAAGGAAGATAAATTTTAAGCTGATCTTTGGTTATTGAAAAGGAAAGGAACGAGGATTCTAGTTAGGGAAAATGTCCTAGCATCTTGCAGTGCCATCTAGAAATAAATCTGAATGCTTTACTACCTTGTCTCATTTTTTACTTAAAACTTTTATAGTGCCTCATATAGTATTATGGAACAGTAGGTGCACAGGAAATGTTTGTTAACTAATAATAATGTTTTTTAAAGTTTATTCCATTAACTGGTATTTAGTAATTGAAATTTAGGTGTGTGTTTTTATTCTAGATGTTTTTATTGTGCTAAAATATATATGATAAGAGGTTTGCCATTTTAACCATTTTTAAGTGTGCATTCAGTGGCATGAAGCACATTCTGAAACTTAGTTTTGTGTATAAAAATATCCTTTTTAAAAAAATCAACATAGTTGCTTAGAGGCAAAAGGAATGTAAAGCTGATTGGGCTTTACTTCTCAGAGCATCAAGTACTCTGTAAGCCTGAGAATTCTAAGTGAATATCACTTTTGTTTGAAAGATTTGGACAAGCAGAAAAACAAAAGTGAAAACTAGTGCCTGACTCTAAAATAGATTTTCTTTTTCTTGAAAACTGACTTTACATTTAAATGAATGTCATTTTTAGTTTTGGGGTTGCTATTTGAAATAACTTGAATGTGTCTAATTTACCTTTGATTACTGGTACCTCACACAGAAACCAATTCTCATATAAAGTTGTATATATCTGGAGCTTAAGGAACTTTTAAAAAATGAAGTAAATATGCCCTGCTTTACTATTTAGATGCCTTTCAAAGTATGCTTTTTATTTTTTATTTGAGTTTTGTAAATTATACTATAAATTGTTTTGCAATTAATTTTGATTTTGTAAATTATATGAAAGTGTGATATGCCTATCTTTTGTGAGTTATAAACCTAGGAAATTCTGTTTGTGTTGATTACAGTGCTTCTTTTTCTAGGGAACAAAGAAGGACGAGATTGAAGGTGAAGTGGAAGTGACTGGTTTGATTCAGCCTGCAGAAGTGTTTGCTCCCAAAAGCCTGGTGCTGGTATCCAGATTAGATTACCCAGAAATCTTTAGGGTAAAGAACTCTTAGTTGTCATTATTGATATATATTATTGTGTAAATCTGTTTTGAGTGAGCCATGGTAACAAGTTCTTTGTGTTTAAAATATCTTTATATTTAAAATAAATTTATTTAGGAATTCATCAGTAAAATTAGTGGTAACAGCAGAAATGTTTTCATACTGGATGAAATAAATACCTGAGTAAGTTAATATGACTATTTAAATTTTAAGAATGTAGTGTTTTTTTAAAAGGTCGCATATTTACTAACTCCAAAATTTATGTATCTTAAAGAAATCATTTTATTATCTGTAGCATATTTGAAATACATTAATAATATAACTACTTTGTGTATTTTTACTCACCTTCTTTTGTTGATCCAGGTTGAAGTAAAGAGGATGGATATTTGTGTTTTCAAATAGTTCTGATCCCATCACTGCCTTTAAATTGTTTACTTTAAATTGTTTTAAAGTAAATAGCTTTAAATTGTTTTACTTTCAGATATTTTGTTTTTTAGACACTCAGAATTTTCAAATGTAAGAAAAAAAATTAATTTAGCTATAAATATATTTTGGCTTTGAAAGAAGAGGGCTTATTTTTTTCTTATCTCAGTTTCTACCTTTAGTAATAGTAATGTTGACCATGATCCAAAATCACATCTTCTTTGGAAAGTATAAACTATACCTAAAAATTTCACAAGGATTTGGGAAATTAATACATAATTTCTGGCACACTTTCCCATGTTGTTGAGATTATATGTACTTTAGAAAAATTAACTTGATGTCAATATTTCAAAGGAAATGAAGTGATTCCTAACAAATAATAATTTTTCAGAATTACCAAATTTAATAAACTGAAAGATTATAACGATTGCACTTTGTCTTCCTTTTTACCACCTACTTTCTTCTGAGTTTAAAGTGTTAATCCCTGAGTTTAAAGTGTTGTCCCTGTTTTGCCATCTTTGTAATAATTCACATAAGTTAAATATTTATGTAGAATAAATGTTCTGAATTTATAAGAGTCGCAAAACAAGATAAAATGTCTAGATGTTTATCATGAAATTTAGCATCTTGCAAAGTAAGGTGAGACAACAAAAAAACCTCACAAAACAACAGTTTTAAGCCCTACAAATCTGCTAGAATAGTTATCTCAGCACAAACACCTGTTTTACAAATTATGGATTTCTGCTTTTTATAAACTCATCTCAAAAGCTCATTTAGAGCTTCTGGTTCTGGAGAAAAATTTAATAAACTTAATAACATTTGCTGCTTAAAATTTTATTCCATGGTCGCTGTACAGTGTACTCTACTAGGTTCAAAGAGAAATTTTCCTAGGGGCAGATGTCACATCAATTTATTTTTAGTGCCTACCTTTTCCATGAAATAAGGACATGCATCTTCCCTTTGCAGGCTTGCCTGGGTTTGATCTACACTGTGTATGTGGACAGCCTGAATGTCTCCTTGGAAAGTCTCATTGCAAACCTGTGTGCGTGCCTTGTCCCAGCGGCTGGAGGGTCTCAGGTAAATTGAACAGAAGGGCAATGAAGAAGGCCTGTTCCCCTTATCCTCTCTTCCAGTTAATTTAATTTGTAAAGAAAAGGGGAAAAAAAAAAGAATTCTTTTAATATTTTTGTTTTAAAGAGAATCTTAGTTTAGTTAAGCATTGTCCCTATGGTCTGCCTTCTAGAGACCCAAGATTCCATTCTTTTCTTAGGTCATGAGGTTAATTTTAACACAGGGTTCACCTTTCACATAGCATAATTAGAAGTTATATTTTCTGTAACTTGAACTCCAGTTTACATTTTCTTGAAAATACTCTTTTTAAAGCTGAACTTTTAAAATGTGTTCTTTGTACCCCTCTTACTCCTCTATATAGTTATGCCTCATTTACTTAGCTTAAATCAGAAATTTTTTTAGGTGAGAAAAAATAGGCGATAACATTAAGAAAATTCGCAAAACAGTGTTTGGTAATCTTGTAACTTTCTGAATAGATTTATTAATTTATTTATTTCCCTGGATAACAGTGATTATATGTGGTTCTAAAACTATTTTGTGTATTGTGTGTAATCTTTAATAGAATAGCTTACATTTAAAATTTGAAAGAAGAGTGTTTATTTTTCTTATTTCAGTTTGCTACCTTTAATAATAATACTATTGACCATGGTCCAAATTCACAGATCTTTGGAAAGTAAAATACATACCTGAAAATTTCCCCAGGATTTTACCATAGATTGAGCCTCAAGTGAGGAACTTATGCTCTTTTACTAAAATAAAACTTTCTCAGAGTTGTCATGTTTCTCATCTTCTGTATGTCTTGAGATTTTCATATTTGTATTTGAAGTAGAAAAATAAGAACCTCAGCTCTATGACTTAATGTTTCTAAGGCACCATCCTTAAAAAAAGACTCTTTAAGCCCTTTAATTCATTAGTTGATCACTTATTTTGCGTATTCTTCTTAATATTGGGGAATAGAATAATCCTCTAAAGATTACATGGTTTAACCTTAGTCTGGCAGAGATTATTTACAAAGAAATTGCCATCCTTTTTCATTTCCCTTTGCCTTTTAACTATATTCTGTTTATCCCAGTGTCTTTTGTTGTTTTAAGTTTTTATCCCCCATTTTGCCTCCTGAGCACTCCTCCCTCTGCTCCAAGGGCAGAATTTGAAATGTGAGTTTGGTCACAGTTGGACCTAAGCTTTAAAGCAGTGGAATTGTTTTATGGACCTTTATTTTAATGGGATTTTGTTTATTTTATTTTAATCTTTTAATTTTAAAAAACTTTTTATTGCAGCTACTAGAAAGTTTAAAATTACGTATGTGGTTCGTGTTGTATTTCTTCCCCCCCCCCCC